TTCCACCTGCATTCATCCAGCCTCCATTTGCAATGTTTGCAACATCTGGTGCAATGCACTGTGGGATACAACATACCCCAGTATGCATGGTTGCATGAGAATTCAGAATGGAGGATGCTGCTCAGGGAGCGTGCCAGAGGGCTCCTGAAGAGTACCAGCATGTTGCTGTGGGAAGGATTTCAGGGCACCCTCTGTCATGTGGAACCGTGGAGTCTACCTTGTTAACATACACTTAATCCTCTTGCCATTTCATTATAGTGGAGGGAGTGTAAAAAACCCAATATCCTACCCCCTGCTTTTCATTTCAGACGGCTTCAATCACAGGAGGAAGAATGTGTTAATTATGGCACGAACTCTATGATTTATTTAAATGAAAACAACCTTTGGGTCTAAGACAAAGGCAAAAAATGCGCACTCTTACCAATGACATTATTAGGGAAGCGGTTTTGAAGCCAAGACTGCCTAACTGTGTACAGCAGCTCGGCTGAGACAGGGATAGAATGTAGTGTGGAGTGAGCTGTCTCCCTGATACATATCACACAAGAACCTTCACAGTCGCTGATTACAATGAATACATAGTTGACATTACTGGAGACAGTTCAGTTGAAGACAAAAAGTCACATGAACACAACACTGCCTTTAACAATATGCCTGGTCCTTGAAAATGTAGTAAACTCTTAGCAGAAATAAAACAAACAAACAAACCCTGTGTGTGTATCTGGGAAACGGTGGATCCTCCCTTTCTTTTGCCTGAGCTGGAGGAAGGACTGGGTAAATGCTTCTCCTGAGGCTCAAAGCAGTTCAAGGTTTGGAAGAGCGTAAGATGCCTACAAGACCTGTACCTGTGGTTTTGGAAGTAGAATTACAGGAGTGTAAAGCGTGCTTTTAATTAAGGTAATACATAAAGCTGCTGGGCCAACTTCAGCTCTGGTGCCAGTGGACATAACTTTATTTAATTCTGCCAAGTTATGCCAGGGTTGAATTTGACCTGCAGTGTAAGGGTGGCAGATCTGAGCTCTAATTAATTAAGGTCAAAATAGTGCTTGATTCCTTACTTGAAACTCCTGCCCCCAGGGCAGCACAATCTGTCTCTGCACTCTTCCTAGTGCAGGGACTGCTTTGTCCTACCACCTCCAGGAGAGCTCCAGGAAAGGGTGGGAGAGTCAGGAGCAGGAGCCCCACTCCCTGTTTGCACCAGCCAGCAGAACCAGCTGCAGAGTGTGGAGCAGACTATATCTGTCTGACGGAGAGTGCAGTGTTCTCGTTTCCTTTGTGCACCTGGGACAACCAGGGACCCAATGTGGGCCAGTGACTATTAAGTACAATCTGGTCATAACATTTAAATACAGCACATTGTGCTAGAAGTCAGGCTATCTTTAAAAACCATGTACTTAATAGGTGATATGTCACCAGCTACAAGTGTCTGTAGATCAGAGAACATAACATTAGTTGTACATGCTCCTACAACTGTTAAAATACTTTACTAGGGGAAAAGGAAAATTATATTAATCAAATGTCAAAGAAAGCAACCTTCAAGTGTTACAAATATAAGACACTTGTAGCCACTTGCAAACCACCATAATTCCTTGGCTTATTCCATTTATTATTTTATTTAGTCTTGTGCTCTTGTTTAACACACCTACATTTGAGTCAAATCCTGAAAGCCTCCTTACTCTGTGTTTACTCAGTCATTACTCAGGCAAATGTGATCTTGAAGTCTGAGTTTTGCTTTGGTAAAGAATGAGTAAAAAGTGAGTAAAGCTTTTGCAAATTTGGCTCATGGTACCCAAGTGTACTGTATTGCCGTAATTATGTGGAGCTGGACAGCAACATCTAAATAGCTGGGACATCCAAGCTCGGATAAGCATATTGGTAAGATCAATCAGAGTAACATGCGGAATACATTACTCTGATCAGTACTGACACACCATGCGTATAGAAAGCTGAAGTACTTTGAGTCAGGAGGAGAAATAAGATTTCATGCCATGAAAATTGGAATGGAGTGTGTGTTTTGAGAACACATTGTGCGTGAGTGTTCCGCTTGTCTTACCACTTGCTGAATAGCTTTCTCCAAACCCTTTTGTTTGAAACACAAGAATCCTATGTCTCCTATGTGGATTTTTTTGGTCAGATCTTGAGTCAATTCATTTCCAGGTGAGCATTCAATTTTCTTTTCGGTTGTTTTTGTCTCTTCCTTGTCTTTAAAAAAAAAAAGGAGAAAATGTGATTAATGCAACATCTGAGAAATATCAACAAAAAACTTCTGGAAAGTACTAATACCCTTGTGAACGTGCCAATAGATAAAGTGCTGCAGCAGTACATATCCTGACCATTATATGCTTAAATACATCATCCGACTCAGTTCTGTAAACTAAAACAACAATATCAATCGTAGCCTCAAGGCACTAATTCATAAAGCCCCTTTGTGGGAGTATGTGATGACACACATGAGTGTTCTCCTAGAAACAAAAGCAAACAGATTTTCTTTTTCCCCTGGCTGGACAATATCCATCCCCAACATGCCTGTGAGCAACACTCACCACCAGATAAATTATGTGATCCTTGTGTTTACTTGGAGTTGATTTGCTCAGTGACAGTTGTTCAGTCTGTATCTGATTTTAAAAGTGGCTTTCACTGGAAGGTAAAAAGTACTAGAGCTACATAACAGACCATGTAGTATTTTGCAGACTGTCGCTCCCACTGATATTCCTGTGGGGTGTGTACTTGGCAGCAAAATAGATAGAAGATAAAAGATAGAAATTATGAAGTGTAAAAAAAGAGAATGTGCTAGGAGGTCATCGGCTAACCTCATGTTCCTACATTATATGCAACTAAGATCTTTTCCAGTTTGACTTAAATTGCAGGAGCTTATTTCAAATCTTCCTCAGATGTCAAGAACTTGATGACGTAGCACAGAGGTGTATATTTGTGATAGTAGAAACCTTTGTGAAACACAAACACTCTGATTTAAACTAGAGATGAGTGAACCAATTCAGTTAAAGTAAGAACGTAAACCTTTATCCATTCCTTCAACAGAAACTTTTAAAAGTTAAATCAGCGTTTGATCTAACTTTTCTGAGTTGGTTCCTAAGCAGCTCAGTTAAGGTATGGCACCTACATGCCACTGTGATGGGTGCTTTAAGACCCAAATATGGTAATAAGCATATACAAAAAAAAGTTGCACACCCTTTTGCACATACCTAGAAGAGGTGCACATGTGTTCCAATCCATGCAGGAAAATCAGGGTTGCCCATAGGGAGAGCCCTCTCGCTTGGGGACTTTCTCCTGTGGGAGAGGCATTGCACGCTTAGCATGTGATTAAGGAATGAAATTCTCTGCACAGGCACAAAGCATCGCCTTAAAGTAGAATCATTTGCTCTTGTAGCCTGTTCCTCCTATTTCCCTAGGCAAACCAATGAAGTGTGAGAGGCAGGAAGAAGGAATCAGACAGTCAAGGAAGAGAGAAGAAAGCAGCCGAGTCCTTTTTGGTTTTTGTTTTCTGGGGACCAAAATGGGTTGAACTGACAGCGAGCCTGCTTGCAGCCCATCACGGTCATCCTTCCAGCCCTCCAGTAGGCTCTAGTCAGTATCTCCTGTGGGAAAGAGGTGCCAATGCCCAAACCAGATTACTCAAAACAAAGTATCTTCTGTACTTTCAATCTGATCCACTGCTCCAGTCTAATGGAGCTATGCTGAGTTACACCAGCCAGGATCTAGCCTGCAGTGTAGAAGCAAAGGTTAGCACATTCTTTGGAAATGCATCATGTACCTAATTCCTTGTGTGCCATTTTAGGTGCTCATAGATTATGCTGTTTACTAGAGGTGCAAGGTAGCTCCCACAGTAGTCTTTTGAGGTGGGGGAATGCAAGGCTTTAGGACAGCACTGTGAATATTTAGGCTGGGATTTTCAAAGGGGACTAAGGGAGCAAAGCACCCAGATCCCATTGGAATTCAACAGAAGTGTAACTCCCACTCCTTTGACAATCCCAGCCCTAGACAGCATTGTCATACTTTCTACTTAGAGCAAAGCAAAGGTTTATTTCCAAAATGTCTCAGCACCCAAAGAAGCCCGCTTCTTGCTATTTGTCCTGCAAGGCTCTAGCACCATGAGGAGTGTCAGCATGACATACCCTGCCCAAGCCATCCCCAGTTTAAGCCCTGTCCTCCGCTGAGTATTTTGTAGAAATCTGACTTGCTGTGTAAAGTAGTCTGTCCCCCAGCTCCATTTATTGCTGAGGAAAGAACTTAGTGTATCAGTAATTCTTCAAAGAGCAGGGAAAGCAGTGTATGTTCAGCAACTACTCTTGAGTAGTTAATGTTTTTCTTTTAATCTGTCTCATGAGTGCTTATCATTGAAAGAAGAGATTACCACATGTAGCATGACGCGAAACTGCTTGGCACACACATTTAAAAGAATTAACAAACTAAACAGTGCCAAAGCAAAATTACCTTATAAAATGGCATATTGTGTCCTTTGAACTGGTTTCAGCTGGTGCCAAGAGCATCCAAAAATGAGTAAATGGGGAAATGTCTCTTTGGTGTAACTTTCCTTTGTGTCAATCTTGGCCTTTTATAGTAATGATAAAGTACCAGACATGATTGACTCTTTACCTGTCTTTCTAGTTTGTGACTCATGCCCGGCTAGTCTTATAGTGGAGCTGTTGTTGCTTCTGTCTATTATACATAGTAAACCATGCTAATCATGATATCTATGTGCCATCTCTTTCACCCTGACCTCCCTATCTTTGGGAGAGGGTTGTGGTGTTTGTGGTTGCAATAGAGATGCCCTGGACCCATGTACCCCTAGCTTTAGAAACATTTGGATCTACCTCAAGTTCATTTCTAATAGAATTTTTAAAAAATTAATGAATTACTTCCCCCCACCCACCACACACACACACAAAGCTTGTGTCTTTCTTTTAAGGGTACTTCGGATTTTAACAAAGTGTTTGCAATAGCTGGACACAATTTTATATCTGACAAGCTTTTACCCACTTGTAAAAAAACAGCTACATTTCAATTGTTGACACTTTTCTTGTCTTGACAGTGACTGCACCATATAATCCAGTGCTGCCAATCAGATCTGAACAAAAGAAATAGCAGTTGTCTGACTGTGAATCATTTCTTCACCTTGATTAATGTAAATATTGAGTTTGTACAAATAATCCTGACAATGTGAGACATGCCCAACTTGCTTTTGTAACTAGTGCTAAATGTTTTCCATCCATTCAACCCCTTTGGGCAATGTCATTTATTTTAACACTCTTTTTTTGGGAGTGAGTGTATTAGAATACAGTGCCTCTAAACAGAGCCAATCAACATCTGCAAAAAAATAGTTATTATCTGCAGATGAAACCTGAGCCAAAATCCATGGAAATCAATGGAAAGGTTCCAATGGAGTCTGGGTCTGGCCCATCTTCCTTAGAATTTTAAATGAGTTCTCTTTTTTCCTGTGATTGCAGCCCTTTTGTATTCATTTTCTGGAAATATTCTCGTGAATGCATTTATGGGAAGGAATGTTCAATGGAACAAAGGACATTTAAGCAAGCACTTCAGCATATTTGTGGAAAGCAAATTCTGTATTTGCACCAGAAACCTGCTGCTAGAAGTTGTGTTTATGCAATTAGGGGACAGAAACATGTTGTGTGTCCAATGTCCCATCAAAACAGCTCAAGTGTTTCATTCTATACTGCTTGGAAACAACCTACTGTCCAGAAGTTTGTCATGTCAGCTGACAAATTCACAAACAGAAGAAGAAGCAATAACGTATATTATTCATTACAAATTATTTGTCCAGCTCTGATTCCATGTTATTGGTTCAAATCTGTCACAAGCTGGTATTAGTTACTGAAACACACTATCATGTGATAGCACCTAATTGACTTATGTACAATGAGTTCATGGCTTCACTCCATTTCCTAGTAGACAGGCGTTGTCAGAAAACTATCAGCATTAGCCCTAATTGGCTAATTATCCTCAGCTTCCTGGCCAGGAATTGAATCAGCATGGAGTTCCTCCTCGGTCTTAGGGCTTGTCTACACTATCGCGCTGGGTCGATCTAAGATATGCAACTTCAGCTACGTGAATAGCGTAACTGAAGTCGACGTACCTAGATCTACTTACTGCGGTGTCTTCATTGCGGTAAGTCGACAGCTGTTGCTCTCCTGTCAACTTCGCTTGTGCTCCTCATTCTGGTGGAGTACTGGAGTCGACGGGAGAGCGCTCAGATCCGGCGGGTAGTGTAGACAAGCTCTTAGAGATAGGGTGACCAGATGTCCCATTGTTAAAGGGACAGTTCCGTTTTTTGAGACTTTTTCTTATTAAGTCGCCTATTATCCCCCACCCCTGGCCTGTTTTTGCACACTTGCTATCTGGTCACCCTACAGAGGTGTCATTTCCTCCAGGCTGAGATGCATTGACAAGGACACGTGGTGATTGCTCAGCTGAATCTATGGGTATGTCTACACTTAGAGTTGGGATGTGATTCCCAGCTCAAGGAGACATTCCCCCGCTAGCTCTGATCAAGCTAAAAATAGAGTAGAGCTGCAGCAACACGAGTGACAGAACAGGCTAGCCACCCCGAGCATGCCCCTGTGGTGTCGGTGGGTATGTACTTGGGGTGGTTAGCTTCTTCAACTCCTTATGATGGCATGGCTACAATCTGTGACCTAGAGTGAGTATGTGTCCTCAAGCAGGGGATCTCATCCCTAGTTCCAAGTGTAGACATAACCTAGGAGAGGACTTCAATTTCGTGGATCAAATGGACTGGTATCTCTTAGCACCATTACATTTTCATAAGCAGACAACACCTAGACAATCAAATTTGACAATTCTGGCCTCAGGTTAGGCACCTAAATCTATAATGTCAAATTGAATTGAACACCATAGTTTTCACTGGCGCAGAGCAGCCATGGTTCTCACTGTCCTCAATGGGAGCTGTGAGTGTTCAGCAGCCCTGGAAATCAAGTCACTTATTGAGGTGTCTAACTGTGAATAGAACTCACTTTTGTGACTCATATTTGAACATTTTGGCAAATGTGGCTAAAGATTCTAATTGACGGTGGTGTAGCTGAGATCAGAATCTGGCCGTATGTGTATATGAGAATATGCCTGGGTTTTATACATGATAAGAATGTTGAAAGGTTCGGATGGGTTCAGAAAAGAGCTACAAGAGTGATTTGGGGACTAGAAAATCTGCCTTACACTGAGAGACTTAAAGAGCATAATCCATTTAGATTATTGGAAAGAGTTTTAAGAAGTAACCTGATCATCACCTATAAATTACACACGGAGAAGATATCTGGTAGTAGAAGACTCTTTAATCTGACAAAATCCAATGGCTGCAAAATGAAGCTAGCCAAACTCAAACTAGAAATAAAGTGCAGATTTCTAACAGTGAGAGTAATTAACCATGAGAACAACTTCCCAAAAGATGTGGTGGATTCGTGAAATCTTTAAATCTGGATTAGATTTCTTTCTAAGAAATATGCTGTAGTTCAACCAGACATTAGTCCTTGATGCAGGACTAACTGGGTGACATTCTATGGCCTGGGTTGTATAGGAGGTCAGGTTTGATAGTCACTGATCCCTTTTACAGTGTTGCCAACTTCTGCAATTCTAGCCCAACTCTCACAATAATGGATGTTTTACATAGTGTCAGTTCCTGGGGACAACGGGTTACATGAGCATCTCTGCTTTAATTTAAAAAAATAACTTTCTACTGGTTCTGGTTATGGAGAGAAACTTGAAAATGTGACTCATGGGTGAAATTTTTCAGACAAAACATTTTTCCAACAAGTAACGCAAATTTGGGTCTACCAAAACATTTCACAAATGTGTGTTAAATTCACCGAATAGTTTTGGTTGAAATCCCATCCCTCCAAACAATTGAAGCATTTTGTTTCAACATTTTTGAAACAAAACGTTTTGAGTTTTTGATTCAAAATGACTTTTCAAGTTTTACCTCAATTTTATTTTAAAAAAGGTTAAAAAAACCCCTCAAAACCCAAAAGGTTTGTTTCAGGTTGAATGAAACGTGTTGTTCAACCCAGCATGAATTTTTTTCAAGTTTTTCAGTTAGCTGACCAAACCAGAAGAATCAGTTACTCACACAGTTTTACTCAAATGCTCTCCAAAGGTTCAGAAACCAGAAGGCAAAGAGAACCAAAAAAGTATTATTTTTAACCCAGTCTCATGAGTTTTGGGGCCTGACTCATGATATTTCATTGTCTTGTGTTAGCAATGATGCCTTAAGGGCTTTGAAATCTCTGAGTCACTACAGCAGAGCCTCGCTAATTTGCACTGACAAGTGGGAAACCCATAGCAAACTAAGGACTAAATGAACAAATAATTTTCAGCAACAATGCATCACAAAATGGTCTCTGATCATTTATCTGAACAACTGAAGCTCAGTTTTAATTGTTTAAATGCTGTTGTATATTTTGTAATAGTGAAGCCTTAGTAATATGAGGCCTCACATCACACTGTTGTTAAATCTTTGCTGAGAAATTGGGAGACTGCCAGGATTCTGTGCAAATTATAAATCATGTATGTTAGTGACTTGTGAATCAGTGCAGTTTTGCTGTAACTGTCTTTATAGGTTTCCTAGCTCTTTTTTAATCTGTGGCCAGGGCCGGCTCTAGCATTTTTGCCGCCCAAAGCAAAAACAATTTTGGCCGCCCCCCCTTATTTAATTACCCCACTCCCGGCCCCGCCTCAACTCCGCCCCTTCCCCAAATCCCCAGCCCTGCCTCCTCCCCCCAGGCTCTCAAGCCTAAGAGGGAGGGGGAGCAGCGGCGCGCGAAACGGCCGCTCGGGGTCTGCCCATCCTTCCCAGGTTTGAGAGCCTGGGAGGGAGGGGGAGACCCCGAGCCGCCGCGGCGCGCGAAACAGCTGATTCGCACACCGTGGCAGCAGCAGCGGAGGTGAGCTAGGGCGGCCGGGGCACATTTTTAGGGGCGGAATTCTGGCGCCGGCCATGCCGCCCCTAAAAAATGTGCCGCCCCAAGCACCAGCTTGTTTTGCTGGTGCCTAGAGCCGGCCGTCTGTGGCCCTGTTAGCCATGGTTTTCAGCAAACTGTGTCTTTTTAAATTTCCCAGGCTGATGCATCATGCTCAATTACATCAGTCACCTCCTGTACTCCTATAACTGAGTTTAACTCATTCTAGCAACGACTTGTCACCTTAGCAAATTCAGAAAGATCTGATTTACTGCATAAAGCCTGTTAATGACAACTAGGAGGTAAACCTTCAGCTGTTTACAGATTATTTTAAAATATTTCTCTATATTTGATGATTTATAAATCCATGTAACCCATTTTCTTTCAACAATAAATGACAAGTGGAAAGCCCCTCCTCAGTTCTCTTCCCAGGACCCTGACAATCTGGGGAAATTGTCCCTTTAGGCCACTTGCCTATTTAAAGTGTAAAGTCTGATTGATTTTACAAGGGAGGAAGAAGGAGTGAGGGTGTCATTGTGTTTCAGAACCTTTATCAGGAGTTTGGCCAGCCCTGTCCTGGGTAATTTGCTTGTTAGCTTGATGAGAGACCTCACAGGTGTTATGGAGAATAAACTATATGGGATGTATAGAGTATTTGAAGATACACATCCTCGATACTGTCTCTCTCTCTTTGTGTGTTTGGTGTGTGTTGGAAAAAGATGACATAAGCACATAATATAATTGTTTGAATAATGATTTGCTAATGCCATGTCAGGGAAAAAGAAATGGAGGATTTAGTCCCCCTCTACACCTACACACATTTCTGTTCTGAGGTAGAAGAATCATTATTGTTAATAGAGTATCAACTAGGGACCCCAACTGAGATCCGAGACCTTTGAGCTAGTCTTATAAACACACACAGTAAATAAAGTTCTTGCCACAAAGTTCTTACAGTCTAAATCAGAGATACAGACAAAGGCAATGTCTTTACCTCCATTTTACAGGTGGGAAAATGAGGCACAGGGAAATTATGTGCTTTGCCCAAGGTCCCAAAGGAAGTCAGTGGCAGAGCTCTGCTGAGAATTAATCCAGATCTCCTGAGTCCCAATTCAGTGCTTATGATGAGTTCACATTATGGTATCAGCTAGAGCGTCAGGGCCAGAACTCAGCTTGTGTAAATCTGCGTAGTGCCCTTAAGGTCAGTCTATTTACTCCAGCTGAGAATCTGGCTCATGGTATATATACGCTGTGATACTAAGTATTCCTTTCTATGGGCCTGATCCTGCACCATTAAAGTCTTGGGAGTTTCAGTATTGGCTTGTGTGGGAGCAGGATTGAGGCAGACTTTTTATCCATCCAATAAAATGGAGACTATCTTAAAAAATAAGTAATAAAGTGGAGAGTTATTACACTCAAATGCATGTACATTATGCCCATCGCCTCAGTATTGGAATACTGGAAACAAGAAGCAGAATCAAAACCTTGTTATTCAAACAAAATATATTTTCTTTTTAGCTTGTTTTATTACAGTTCAAAAGAAGGAAACACCTGATTTTGAGGCAGAGTGGTGAATGTGGGAGCTTCTTGATTCTCTTACCAATAAGCAGAAAAGCAGGGAGATGCAAAGCGGTTCATGGGAGTAGAACATAACCATGGAACTGGGATCTCAATCAGAGGGCAGATGACTGACAGGAGACCTCACAAGGTGGATGTTTCCTGGGGAGGGTTTGTGTGGAGTGTCAGTGTTTGAGGGATTTCAGTGTAATACCTATATATGCAGAACAGAAGTCAATGAGATAAGTAAAGAGGCCCAAAGTGTATCTTGAAGGCAGTATTTAAAATGTCCTTTAAAAGGGTTGTCCTTGTACATGTGGTTTATACAACAGCATGATAGATTATCCTTCCCCAGTAGAAAAGACGAAAGCTATTGAACAGTCTTCTGGTTAGTCTGCATGAAGATAGCACAGCTGCTTCTACAGCTATGATACACCTGGCTGTACTATAACACATACAGTACTCCAGTAAAAATTGCCTGCCTTAGGAATAGCTAGAGAATTTGTCTTATAAGATTAATGCTTTCCTGTCAATATAGGTAGATTTCTTTGTGTCTTTGTTTAGCACATGTGAAAAAATGTTGTTCACAGTGGGTTTTTGACTCTTGAAAAAAACACATCTCTTTCATAGTGAAAATTTACTGTACATTTAAGATTCAGGTACCAAACTTTCAAACTATATTGTAATAAAAAGATGGAAAATATTTTCCTTCTCTCTGTTTCCTTCTTTTTCCACTAGTAAGAAAGGCACCCTTCCACTTGTTCTCTAGGCATCTCTGATATAGTACAACAAAATCATTTAAAATCCAGCATAATCTTCATATCATATAACCAAAATCCCCACCCTAGATTGATAAATCAAAAATACCCCACCCTTTTTATAGCGCTTCCCATGCTCCCCCCTCCAGAAATGATCAAAACCTTGGATGGGCTTTGCAACATTCCCAAAAGGTAAACAGATTTAGCTTATTTTGGACTCAGGTGGATGGGAAATGAATTCCAAAGTTGAATATGGATAATGTTTTGTGGAAGTTTGTGTCACAGGAATACAGTCATTGAGTGTTCTGGCTGGGAAAGAGGTTAGTGCAGAAGTTCCTCCCAGGCCACCGAAAAAAGAGGGTAAGCATTAGAATGCTGTTCAGGCACATCCGAACAGGGAAGGGTTAAAATTTAACACTAAATTTAAATTCTTATTAAATCCTAAGGCAAGGTGGGTGGCTCAGGTGATTTTCAGAGTCTGCCCAAATGCTCCACATCCAAGTCTGTCAAAATGAAACTGCGTATTCAGTTCAGCAGAGAGAGGATTACCACGTTCCCCAATGCCAGGGCATTGCCCAAACTTCATCACCCTGTGCTGCACAAAGAGGAGAAGGCTGGCTGCTCCCTCTTAAATGACCCAATAGAACCCTACTCACCCGGAGACAAGTGGCTGCATTAGGATCCTTCCACCCCTTCAGTAGGGAGGCATTCTTCACTAAACTTTGTTTGGATGTTATAAAATCTTCAATCTAGGAGATGGGCAAAGTTCTATTGTTTTAACTGAGCCACTTCACGCACCCCTAAGAGATGGAAGATTAACGTGGAACCTGAGTGTCTCACATTCAAATGGGTACACTGCAAAAGCAAAAGGTGTTTGTTTATTTTACAATACATTTATTTCCTATATTAGAGTAATATTTTAGACCACAAACTGATGGCCCACACAGTTAGCTAGTCATATAGTGATGGTTCATCATCCCTATTCCCAACAGCTCAATTGCAAGAAAAGACAGTGAATAATATATTGAATACCTTTGGAATATTGCTTTTCCATGTAAGCATTGCTTGAATTGCGGCAGGGATCTCAAGTGCTGGTGAATGGGAGGGGAGGAGATCCAGGCAATCATAAATAGGAAGAGAGGTGTTTGGGTTGGCAGGGGTGGTATGCACAAGACAAACAAGCTATTAAAATGTGGTCCATTCAGTGAAAAAGTTGGTGTTAGATTATGTGTTGGATGCCAGTCTAATTGTGAACAGCAAATTGTATCAAGTTATGTTCAGATGCTATAAGCAAATATAGATAAAGTGATCTGGTATGTGAGAGCAGACCAGAGCTCCCTCACCCACTGTTTACTTGTGGACTAAGATAGAAAGCAAGTGAATAATGACTGTTCTGTTTTGTCCTCAGTAACAGTTAGCTCAAGATTTTTCCAAAGTGACTAGCAATTTTGGCTGCTTCAATTTTCAGGTGCCCAGCTTGAGAGTGTGATTCTCTGTGGGGAATAGAACCCAGGCTGCGGGATGGCCAACACCTCCACGCTGCCACCTAGAAGCCATGATATGGGTGTATGCATCATCACATAGACCATGGAGATAAACACCACCTTGGAAGGCTGGACTGACAGCTTCCCTTGTGGCCCCTCGATTGGCCCAGGCATCCCAAGAGAAGTTCCAGGAAGTGTTTGTGCAACTAGATGGACTCCCCAGACAGCTGTAGTGATGAACCTATCTCTCAGCTTGCTCCTGGACTCTGACCCCAACTTGGAATCTGGCTTCTGCCCTTGAAACCTGACTCAGATCCTGACCCTCAGTTTCAGTACTTGAACGCTGTCTTTCACTTTGCCCACTGGTTTCAGTGCTTGGATTCTGGCCCCATTTTTTGACCCCTGGTTTTGGTGTTTGGACTCAGACTCCAGCCGTGACCCCTGGCTTCAACGCTCAAACCCTGACCTAGGCTTTTAGATTTGGACACCAGCCCTGACCACTAAGCCTGTCGTGATAGTGACTCTAAAGAGATCTGTTTTGGAGAAAGTGCTGAGCACCTGCCCTCAAAAAACAGACTCCTTTAAAATGTCTCAGATGGTGTATCCAAAAACAGAGGCACCTAAAGTCCTGTGGCTACCTGGGTCTCCCATATCCCAGATGAGAGCTCTAACCCCAGGACTAGAATGTCAGTCCCGCTCTCTCTCTCTCTCTCTCTGAGCTAGTGAACACTTAATTATTTATTTATACAAAGCGGAACAGCTCCAGCAGGGGAGCTTGAGAGAGAAAAAAATTTTGTTGAAAAATTTTCTGTAAAATCACCAGTCACTGTGGAAAATCTTGAACATCCTCATTAATCTTCTGGTGAAAGACATTGTCAGGAATGAGGCCTTCAGCTGAGCCAATCTCCAGGCAACCTACCAAGTGCAGCAGGCCTGTAGTAGGCTGCCTAATTGGCTACACCATCTGATTGGTTGGAAGAGTCAGCAGACCAGCTCTTAAGCCCAGCAGCAGCAGCCATTCAGCAGCTGCTCAGAGCATTCACCCATGGCTGCAATAGCTCCTGAGCCTGCTTGTTCCAGGCCAGCCCTGCTCCTGCCTTGTTCCAGCCTTGCACCAGCCTTGCCTCACTCCAGGTAACCAAGTTGTGAGCCCCAGCTCTGATTCCTGATTTCTGACTCCAGCTCTGACGCTGGGCGCCTATTTGGCTCCAACCACTAGGCATGACCGCCCACATCTCAGTTTCTGACCGTTTGAGCAGGAGAAAACACCAACAATAAGGGGACTAAAGCTGCTACAGTGAGCATGTATTCTACAACGCCCAATCTCTCTCTGACAGAGATAGTGGGAACTCTACGGATGTTGCAGACCCAGATTCCCAGGTGCAGAATGCAGTCCTGCAAGCTTAAGCCACACCACCTTCAGCTCCAACTCTGGCACCCCACAAACTCAAGCTCCCCCTCCCTGACACATTTAATGGCAATCATGCCAAATTTTGTGGGTTCCTAAATCAGTGTTGGCTCCTATTTCTGCTATGCCTGCAGTTGTACCCCCTGGCCAAACCCAAATGGCATTGATTATCAGATTACTTACCAGGAAGGCCTTGTCTTGAGCATCTCTGCTCCTGGAAAAATCAAGAGGACAATTTGAGGACTTAGTCCTTTCCCGTCTGGGGGGGCAGCAGGGAAAGGAGCAGAACACCAGCAGCTCCTTTGGTGGCTGTACCGTGCCTCCCCCAGCCCTGTCTTCTGGCGGAGCTGCAGCTGGGAGCCAGAGGAGACCCTGCCTGGAAGGGCTGTGGGTGGTACAGCTGCGCCGGAGGAGCTGCCAGCGTGGGGTCACGTTCTGCTGCTCCTTTTTCCGGTATGCCGTACCAGCTTGTGATGGGGCACACTTGCCCTGCACTGGACGGGAAAGGGTTAATCGTACATTGTGGGCTGAGGAAACCACACCCCCTTCACCCTACTGGGCATGCTCCAGGTGTACCAATATAAAAGGGAGCAGCTTGTCTCAGACTGCCATAGAGGAAGGACGTACGCTGCCCGCTCCAGCCAAGGCTCAGCGGAAGCCTGCGACCTTAGGAGCTGGAGATACCGCAGCCCAGGCGGACACCAAGGCAACCACGGAGGCCTTGCAGAGTTTGGAGGAAGGACAGACCAGAGAACCTAGAGATAACAGGGAGGCCCAGACTACAGCAGCAGGGATGACAGCAGGAAGCAGCCCAGGGGAATCCGATGGCAGACTGTTAACTGAGCCAAAGCCTTGAGTCGGCATGTTTCGGTAGGAGCCTTTCCCTGCTGACTCAGTGGTTCATGCTACGGCCACTACCAGGGCCCTGGGCTGGGGTCTGATGGAGAGGGAGGGCCCGGACCCACCTGTTGGGGGGCACAACCCCTCCCCCTATGTCGACACTGGCTGCTAAACCTTACTGCCCTACGAGCAAGGGCTAAATTATTGATTTGGGCCACTAGGCCTTACTGACTTCCGAGAAGGGGCATATTTCCTGACTCTGGCCATTAGGCCTTACTGCTCTGCAAAAAGGGGAAAAGTTATTGACTTGGGCCACTGGGCCTTACTGCCCTGTGAAAAGGGGTGGTTTGATGGACACTGGTCCCTAGGTGTAACTGCCCAGTGACAAGGGTGAATTTATGGACTCTGGCCACTAGGCCATACTGCCCTGCTGATAAGGGTGAGCGTATAGACTTGGGCCGAGTAGACGTAAGATACGTATGCCCCCACACCCCTTTTTCTCTAAAAGGGGTGGGTGCACTCACCCCACACTGGCCGGGGTTTACCCCAAACCTGTCACACCTGGTGGAGCACGCAGGCATCACCCCAGGCCTAAGGAGAGACCAGTAGACCCGAGGGGAGTACGGGATCTCCCGTTGGTCACCCTGACGGGCTAGCAACCTGAGATTATTGGGTACCAGTATGGAGTCAGATAACGTTTTGAAATGGCTTCTAGAAAGCCAGCAGCAACAAGCTGCACAACAACCGCAATACGCTCAGCTGTTGCAACAGGTGACGAACCACCAACAGGAGATGATGCTGGAGTTGGCCACCCAGCAGCAAGCCTACCAGGAAAGGCTTGTCCAACAAATGGCAGCATTACTGTGGCCAGGTGGGCCGTCGATCAACACTCTAGCGGACCTGGACCTGGGATCTCTACTGCCTGGCCTCCCTCTAAGGCTCATGAAGATGATCTCGAGGCCTTTCCCGTGACATTTGGATGGGTGGCCACCACTGCATTCTAGCCCCTTATTTAACGGGGCAAGCCCAGGCAGCCTACCGCAACCATGACCCCCAGGAAGCCCTGGACTATGTAAAGGAGAAAGTGGCCATATTAGACCAGACCAGTCCAGAGACATACCGCTAGCACTTTCGCTGGGAATGGTACCCTGCAGGGGCTAGGCCACGAGCGGTGGCTCAACGTCTCTGGGACTACGTTTGGCGATGTCTAGAGCCCAACCAGCAGTCCGGTGCTCAGGTGGCAGAAACAGTAATCTTGGAACAGTTCACCCAAATCCTCCCTGTCGGGGGGAAGGAGTGGGTGCGTAGACATTTCCCCGCAATGCTTACATAAGCAGTTGAACTGGTGGAAGATTACTTGGTAGCTGAGACTACAGAACCCCGAACCTGCAAGACGGAGGAATCCATGGGGAGAGGTCAGCCAGCCGGAGGGAACCCCACTCGACCCCCTTGGGAGGACTGTGATGGCTGTTGGGAGTCCTGGGCAGAACCACTGACTCGAATCCGAAACCGACTGCCACCCAAAGTCTTACATGGTGGGAGGAGACACTACCTGTTGGGGTCGAGCCGACTTGAATTGACACGCCGCCAGGAGGGGCAAGAGATCGTTGTTATGAATGTGGTCAAGAGGGACATTTTCGTCGGGATTGCCCCTACATAGACGGCAATTATGGGCAGACCTGAGTAGCCAGCCCCAGGCCCGAAAGAGGGGCCCGGGAAGCTCAGCAGATTCCTCTGTTAATGAGGCGCAGACAGAGCTTGAACATGCTGCGACTTTATCCAGGAACAATGAGAGGACTCTACACTTAAGCATGCCTGGGAACAGGCCACCACTAGGGATCAAGAAAAGGGGGGTGCTACCCTAAAACCCCAAGGCAAGACCGCCTCTATTGGCTGGTGGAAGAGCCACAGACTTGAGAAGTACTCCGTCAGCTGCTGGTCCCCCAAAGGTTGTGCCAGGGCCTTTTACACCTCACTCATTCAGTGCACTGGACCCCTTCAAGATTATAGAACAGGTAAACCCAGTGGGCTTCAGGTTGCAGATGCTTAACTCATTGGGGATCCACCCCATCTTTCACATTTCACTTTTAAAGCCCTACACTGAGAACCCAGACCCATACTGCTGTAACCCACCAGCACCACCCATAACAGTCCATGAACAGGAGGAGTACTTGGTCCACCGAATCCTCTACTCTCTGCAAGTTAGAGGATGGCTCCAGGAGCTGGGGGACTGGGAAGGCTACATTCTGGATGAGAAGTCTTGGGAACCAGTAAAGAATATCCATGCTCTGGACATATTGTGAGAGTTCCATCGGAAGTGCCCTGAGAAACTGGGTACTGAGGCCCTTAAGAGGCACCCAGCCCTGCTCCTGCCTTGGACCCAGCTTTGCCCCTGTCTTCCCTCAATTCAGGTAACCCAGCTCTGACCCTCAGCTCTGGCATCTGACCTTTGACTCTTGCTCTGACCATTGGGTTCTATTTTTGGCTACTGACCCTGGCTCTGACCACTAGCCATGACCTCCCAAATTCTGGTCTATGACAAGGACAATCAGGTGGTTTTGAACAAAGGATTGGAAGCCCAGACCTCCTGTATTCTAATCCTGCTTCTGTTACTGATTCCCTATTTGGCCTTGTACAAATCAATTAAACTCTCTACCTCAGTTTCCCCAACTGTAAAAATGGGGGTAATATATTTACAAGCCTTGCTAGGGGCTAAGAACTGTGTACATGCTATTTTCATTGTTCCAGTGTCTCCTGTACTTCCCAGCTAAATGTGCTTGCCTGGCCCATGCACCAGTTGTATTGCCTTTTACACTAAACTCTTTGAGGAAGGAACTGTCATTTTCTATGTTTGTACAGCACCCAGCACAACTGGGTCCTGACCTGCCCTTGTATCAACAGCAGTATACATGTTTAAGAAAAGTAAATATTGTGAGGTTTAAGTAGTTAGTGCTTGCAAAGCTTTTAGAAGAGGATAAGTGTGCATTGAAGCAAAATGGTTGTAAAACACTAGCAAACCAGAACTGGGAGCATTTTACAGTCACTTGGCACAGGTATCAATGGCTACCTGAAGTGCAAGGCAAAGGAGTCAGGCCCTCTGTGCTCAGTCTCATTATTATTGTAGGGTAGAAAGAGCTGGTTGCGGCTGTTCAGATTCTGCAAACTGAGTTATTTTCAAAGGGAGAAAGTGAACATGTCCATGGTGTAATTAAAAGCAGGGGGAGTGAGCTACTGTGTTAACTCTTTTCCAAACACAGCTTCCTGGAGGGACCCTTGAGCATTGCCCAAGCACAAGGCTTGAGTTCTTGCCAACCCTATTTGAGTGGGGGGTGGAGGGGAATGTTTTCTTGAGAAAAGCTACCCTATTAAAGCTTTCTGTTGCCAGGGGAATGAAGAGAAAATTCAGGAAAACTCCTTTTTATGTTCTTTATGATGTTTACTCTGCTGCATAGTGCCAAAAGAGGGATGAGAAAGACTACAACACAGCACAGGGCTGCAAAAGCTGTGTGTACTTAATAGGGTGACACACATGGCTGTGTTTCTCTCTGCCCTCTGCTGAGAGCTGTAGGGAAGATCTGGCCTAAATAACGAAATGAGAAATCATGAGACTGACGGCTAGTGCTCATCAATCAGCTCTCCCCTCCCCCCCGCCTATCCCACTGCTCTGACAGGAAGTACACAACGGATGTTTAATGAAAAGGCTGCTGCAGCTTATCTTCACGTGCAGGGGACTTTTGTGTGAACTCGTTTGCTTTGAAAGATATGTGGCCCAGTACGCTAGTATTGTTAGCTCCCATTTTAAGGATGGCCATATGATTCATATAGAAGTTGTGATATATTTGCCAAGGAAAGCTTCCCTACCATTCACTCACTCTTCTAGGAATAAAGTTAGCAGGAGGTCATTGGGGTCATAAGATCTGGCTGTTATTGCATTTTACAGGAAGGAAGATATGTTGTCTTAAGATCAGCTTATCAGCTGACTTTCCTGTGAAGAAGACAGAGACTATTTTCCTGTGCATCACCACCCCCGTAATTCCCAAACGAACCCTCTCAGTTTGAATCTCCTGTCAGATCAGCTGTGTGCAGCTCTAACAGTTCAGTATTAAGCAAAGAAATAAGAAAGCCATTGTAAGGCCATTCAGAATCAACATCTCTTATTAAGCTGACTAACAAGGAGGGATAAACCTCTTCTTTAGTGCTGCCTGTCATCTCAGTCACTTGTTCTCTCTTGGTGTCAATGAACAACTAAATCTGTTGTGATGAAATGGAGTTCTGTTCTAACTGTTTGAAGAGTTCCTTACAAGGACATTGTAAGCAACAGAGAGCTAAGAAGTCTTGTCTATTTTGAAGGTGGTGATTGCTTTTCAGTTTGTT